CTGGACAGCGGCAGTCAGCAATTTCTGCCAACCCACTCCGCCACATGAGCATCAAGCTGGATTCGACGCTGTGAAGAAGAGTTCGGATGCAACCCCTGTCTTGATGATCGCAGACAACATGAAACCATTCCACACGAGCGAATTTGCTATCGGCTGTGCCTCATGGAATTCGATGATGAGGGTCGTGAGCGCGTCGTGAGCTACCAGTCACGACAGATGAAGCCTGCGGATAATAATTATCTTGTCGACACCAAGGAGACCCTCGCGATGCGCTACGCTCTGATCAAATTCAGAGTGTATCTCCTCGGCGAACAGACGTTCGATGTTTACACGGACTACGCTTCTCTTCGGACCGCAATGAGGAGTCCGCATCTGTTGCAGCGGACGGCGCGCTGGCTGTCCTTCTCCGCCGAGTACAACTTCATCGTCCATTACAAGCCCGACAAGAATAACATTTTGCTGACGTGTTGTCTCGCCGCCCGGGCTACGGCCCACGCCGTGCTGTTGGTCGTCAGGCGCTCGATGTCGACGATGAAGACGATTGCGCTTGCTGCATCGCGTTGGGTCTCAACGCGACGGTCTCGACTCCGGTATCGCCGCTGCGTCAGCAGATAGCTGAAGCGTACGACGTTGACGCCTTCTACGCCGACATTATCACGCACCTTCAAGACCCTAGCGTTCACTCGCTGAAGAAAATGACGCGCCCAACACGCGACCACATCGCGTCCTACCAGACAGATGGTCCGCTGGTTTGACTTACACGATGTATACGTTCGACTCTCCGCATGTCGTCATTCCTGTCGAGGACGACTTCCGATCACGCCTGGTTCATGAATATCACGTCGCCGAGGTCGGTGGTCATCTCGGCCGTGAGAAGCCTTTTGCCGCGCTCTCCCGAGACTTCTACTGGCCTCTGATGTACAGGTGGAGACGTTCCTGCGAGACCTGCCAGCGCGTGAAGCCTTCGCCTTTGTCGCAGGGTCCTTTGCGTCTGTTCCCCATCCCTACAGAGACATGGCGCACTGTCAGCATAGACTTCGTATTCGGACTACCGTCAGACAACCAAGGTCGCACTGGCGCCCTGGTAATCGTCGATCACTTCAGCAAAATAGTCCATTTTTCTCCCTTCGCTGCCCAAGTTACTGCTGAAGAGAAAGCCAGCTTGTTTCTCGAACTCGTATTCGGGCGCCAGGGCCTGCTGGAATCTATCGTGTCCGTTCGTGACCCACGCATCACATCGGTGTTCTGGGACCGCCTCGTCGAACTTCTCCTCATGTCGACTGCGGCCCATCCAGAGACCGATGGGCAAACGGAGCGGGTGAATCGCGTCCTCGAAGACGTGGTGCGCAGCTAAGCAACGTCGTTTGAGTCCGTAGCTCCTTCTTGCCGCTAGGTGCGTTGGCCATCAACAACTCAAGCCACGCGTCCAATAGCTTGACACTGTTCTTCGTTAATAACGCGCACCATCCGCGTGTTCCAGCGATGCTTGGCTTGGCCCCACCTTCGAACGACTCTAGTTCCACTTTTGGTGGTGGGGGAGATGGTGGCACACCGACACGTTCGGCGCTTTTACCGAGTGCAGACAAGGCGTAGTTGGTGCTGGTACATGGTACCTGTACCGAGGCGATGAATGGCATATCGTCGCGCGCACGATCGAATACTGCTACAAGCCTTCCGCCGGACGTGTCGCCCGGTGCTAACTACACCCCAAACGAAGACCCACTCCTATCAGCTCCGTGTGGTGAAGTCGGTGAAACTTTCACCCCTTGGCGTACAGTGC